GAGTTGAGGGGAGGGGCAACACCCCGATAGACCAGGCGGAGCGGGGCGCAGGCTCCACAGTGACCCTCTAGCCAAAGTGATTGCCAGCCCTGATCTAGTTATTCATTGACCATTAATAGAATGAGTGAGTGGCAGAGGACTAGTAACTACTTGTAATAATAAATTCCTATTTCTTATTGGAGTTACATTTGAACGATAACATAACTCAAGTGTAATCAGGTGATATCAAGGTCAAAATATGTCTAATCCAGTAGCATTCAACTTCTGTCCTGCAGGCCAAACCTAGCCTACGGGGCTCTCCACAAATCCAGAAATTTGGTGGTGAGGGAGCAATGGCAGCCTTAACTGCTGCAGCTTCCACCACTTCCTTATCACCAAATGTTCTGCCCTGTGGGTTGGATGAATTGTCCTCATATGCCTGATTGGTCTGCAGCATCCAGTACACAGGGTGGGGCTGGCAAGCAGGGTTGTAGCTGCCAGTGGTGACGCACAGGGTGTTGCACGGGGGTGCAGGTGCACCCTCTGAGAGTGCTGGTGTACCCCCTGACAGGCAGCACTCTCTGCTTAGATGATGGGCAGGGGGAGCAGGCAGGAGCACCAATGCCCCCCTGCGAGCACTGGCCAGAGAGTGGGGGCACCACGTGAAGCACTGCTGGCACTTCCGGGACTGCTTCAGCTGCTTCCAGGAGTGCCACTCATGCTTCCTGGCTGGCATGATCATCCCCCTCTACAGTTGGCAAGATTGGCCATCGGACTCTCCCCCCCCGCCCCATTGATGAGATTGGCCATGGGGGGACTCCCCCCACTCAGTTGGCAGGATTGGCTATGGAAGGGGGGCATGTGCCCCCCCTAACTCAGGTGGCACCGGTTGACCAAGGTACTCACAGAATGACCTCCCACACCAACCCCATGTTGGATCTGGCCCATGAACTAGTCCAGCACCATTCATCTGGTCCGTGGAGCCAGAAGATTGGGCACCACTGGTCTAATCTATTAACAGCTAGGTCATTCTGAAAACCATTTTGGACCTCCTCTGTACCCAGGTAGGAATGTCAATAAGTCTTCCCTTTCCAGCCATAAATATGCAGCATTTGTATTTATTAATGGTTCTACCAAAGGAAAATTAGAATCTACCACAATCCATTATATTCAAATATTCTGGGACTAAACCCCAATCAAATTCTTTCCTACACATTTGTATACACAGAAGGACTGTGTGAAGCTTCAGTCGCTGATTTGATTCAGCAGAGATTCGGCCTGATTCAGTGGCTGAATCTCCAAATCCGAATTGAATCAGGAGACCCTTTAATTTCTCTGAATCAAAACGTAATGCTCCTAATCGATTCAGAGAGATTCGGAAAGATTCAGCGATTCAGACATAGACACAGCTTTAAAAGTTTTTTCTACATACCTCAAGGTACCAGCATGGCTTGTGAATACTGCAATGCTGAGGCAGATGTAGCATCCCACAGGAGTGCGGGGGGACTCTCCATGTGCTTGACAGTGAACCCGGAAGTGGACTGGAAGTACTTCCAGTCCACTTCCAGGTCTACCGGAGAGCACACTGAGGGCCACCCCCATCCCCCCACCCCGCACCTCTCCAGCTCAGCAATTGGCCATAGGGGGACCCTGGGTACCTCCCCCGACCCAGAAGGCACCAGTCGCCAAGCCAGGGGGGTGCAGGGGGTCCCCCAGCGTTCTCCCTGGCAGATCCAGAAGTGAACCAGAAGTGCTTCTGGGTCCACTTCTGGGTCTTCTGCCGAGCAAGCTGGGGAGCCCCCCATACTTCTGTGGGACACTCCATGTGCCCCAGCATTGCAATGTTCACAAGCCACCTGGTACCTAGAGGTATGTAGAAAAAACTTTTAAAGCTGTGTCTATGTCTGAACCGCCGAATCATTCCAAATCTCTCTGAATCGATTCAGAGGGTTCTGATTCGATTCGGAGAGATTAGAGTCCTCTGATTCAATTTGGATTCACAGATTCAGCCACGAAAATAGGCTGAATCTCCGCCAAATCGAATCAGGAACTAAAGCTTCACATAGCCCTAATAAGCTACACTAAAAAGATCAGACAAGCAATTAGCTATGTATGAAAACAATGTTTTATTTTTATATCTTAAAATACAACAAACTAGTTGAATTACTTTTAAAGGTAAAGTATTTAAATGTTTTTAATAAGATCAGTATTCTTTATTCTCTGCAAGATAGCTCAGTTTCTAAACCTTTTCCTGTCCTTATACATTTTCACTGTGTATATGTAAGAATTTTTCTCCTACCAAACAATAACCCATTTATACTTTTAAGATAGAAGACTATACCACACAGTAGTCAGAGATGATGATTAAAGGAATACAAAATAATGGCCATGATTTTTAAAAATAGATACTAAAACTAGACTTTTAAATCCATGTATAGGCACTTCATAAGTTGTCTAACAAGAGCTACTGGGTCCCATTACAATCATTAGGAGCCATGGAGTCTAAAAACTTCTAAAAATCAGTCTACAGAATAACTTAAACATAACCACTCATCTTTGAAAATCCTTTTTAGTTGGTATATAAGGAATAAATCTAGCATCCTATGCAAAACACAGGATGAATAGCCCTAAGAAAGTGGGAAAACATGACAAGAAACACATAGTCATATAAGAAGCAGGAGGAGACAAGACCTTTAAAAGACTGCCAGTTATGTCTTACAAAAACAAACCAACTTTTAACTCACCACCCTTTCTACAACTCTGTTTAAAGGTTGGACAAACCCACTCACAAAATTTCTTCTAAAACTGAAATAGTTTCTTCTAAAAAAAAGTCTTCTAAAATTATTCTCAATATTTGTTAGTGTTTTTCCACTCCTTTTCTCTATAAAAAATGGAGTAATGTGTTTTATAATGTTTTCTGTGAATTTCTATTCAATTTTATATACAAAATGATTGAAGGGGAACTTTGAGGTATTTGGGGGGAAAGTGCCCTTTAACAGAATTCACATTTCATCTAGCACAGTGGTCAGATGATTGTCCAGTCTAAAAAATCATTTCAGCCTTCATGTCATGGTGTTCCTGGAGTATAAAGAACAACATGAAAATGAAACCAAGATTAAATATTCATTAAGATATACTGAGACCAACAGAAGGCTCAGAACAGATAACTCAGCAAGCAGTGGAAGACATCTACATAATCAGAGGTATGATGCACAGAATGGTCATGTCTTCTTCCATCTAGTCTTCCAGAAAGAAGACAAAACTATGCATAAGAATCATAGCCATTACAAAAGCAGAGTGGATTTTGCCACCTTTGCCTATGTTAGTACTTTGTTTTGCAAACAGGTCCAACTGAACCAGTGGGTCTTCTCCTAGGTGAAGGTATCCCTCAACTCAGATACAGATGGCAAAATAATTATTATATCAAGATTCTCAATTGCTTGCAGTAGAAGACAAAAGACACAGAAGAAATTATCTGGGGCTGATTAGAAGGAGACTGTGTTGCACATAACTTGACATCAGTAATTTGAGAAGAAAACATCACCCTACTATAGAGCCAGCACATACACCATTATGAGTCCATAAGAGTTTACTATTGACATTAAAGATAGTGAAATCTGGCCCTATTTGTCTGCTACATATTATATTATATTATATTATATTATATTATAACATGACAAATATCATTTGTTGTCACAGAGATTTCTTCAAATTGAGGATTCCAAGTTTATTTCAAGACTGGGCTATTCCAGTAAGGACATACTAAGTATTCTAATGTTTATAAGTAGCCATGTCCCTTGCAAAGCTACCTAAAACTTTACCTTAAGATCACAAGGGCAAAGAAACCTCTTCCAAAAGCCTCCATAATATGTTGCATGTCAAGTAAAGTCCAGGATCTCTGGATAATTGACTTCAGTCTAAATGAATCCAAGATCACGCCCAGTCCAATACATTATGCAATGTAGTGTTGCACCATAGTTTGAACACAAGCTAATGTCAGAGGGAATTATGTGTTTTTAATTAAAGTGGCTACATCTTTGAATGACACAAAAACAAAGTTTAAGCTCTATGGCTATAATTTTTCCTTAATACACAGTTTTAAAAAGAAACATGAATAACATTTGATACATGTGACTTATATAACGCATACATAAAATCAGAAGATAAATATAAATGTTTGAATAAAAAACAGAAAATAACATGATATATTCGTATTGTGTTTATCCTTCAAAAATGTTATTACTTTATAATAGAAGCCATAGGGTGTTAAATTTATATCTGTATATCTATATATAGAGAGATATATAGATATGGATATATATAGAGAGAGAGATATGGAGAGAGAGAGAAAGAGAGAGAGGCATAATTTCTCCCACCCACCCCAAGAGTTTTTGTCTGATCAGGTGCTATAGCTGTTAGTGGCATTATGTAACTGACCCAATTTCAGACACACATTTGCAGTTTTAAAATTAGTTCAACAGTTTGTGTATTTTTCATATTGTTCATTGGATACAATGAATACATATTGTTCATTGGATCCATATTGTTCATTGGATACTCAACAGAAGTACTCAGGCCTAGAACCCTCACTTTTGAAGGTCAGCTGGGAATCCATGCTTGATCTAGAACAAAGGAGAAGTCTTTCTGATTCATCAGTGTCCCTTCGGGTCCAGAGCTCTCCTCCTGCACCCACCGAGCGGGGCTTAAGAGAGAGTGTTTCAAATTTGATATAGGTTTCTTTTGCAAGGTCAGCTTCTCTGGAAGCTTTTGGTTTCCTGTGAAGTTTTAGAACTTTATAGAGTAAGAAAAATATCAAAGGTAAAACAATCAAGCAGGATGCACTGCTTGCCACCACTGAAATAGAAAACTCAAAACTGCTTTCATCATTTATTCCATCAGTGGAAAAAATAATGCATTGATCTTTTTTAGGTGGGACTCCCTTGGGACAAACACATGCCATATACTGAGTACTAGGCTGCAAACCATCTATTGTGACTTTGTTTTTGCTGGGATCCATACTCAAAGGCAGCATGTCTTTCTCACCATACTTTGAGTACAGCACTGTCATTGCAGAGTTACTTGTGGCATTGACAATTTTCCAAGTTAAGGTCACACTTCCATCAGTTTCACTAAACACTCTTAGGTTCTTTACAGTGACATCTTTTTCCTCCAGGGCTGCTGCATTCAGTGAAGTCTCTGCTTTTTTGCTTACATCCCCAGCCTGTGTTTTGTTTCCATTTGTCACTATTGTTGAATTCTTCTTTCCATCAGGCATAGACTTGGATTGTTTTCTGTCAGTTATCTTGGCACTTGTAGGTCTATCAGTGGTAGCCAATATAGTGGTTGTTGATGATGCAGGTAAGGTAGTGGTTGTTTTTTCACGTTCCTGTTGCACTTGCTCCTGCGTCTTGTTCTGTTGCGCTTGCTCCTGCGTATTGTCCGCTTCAAACTTCCTCAAATATTTTAGAGGTGACACGGCTGTGGTTACAACACCAACCACAGTGACAGTAACAGCAGCTTCTTACATTCCCGCTAACCTGCTAAATTTATGGCTTTACATCTGTATTCCCCTGCATCCTTGTATGAAATTCCTGTCAAGCTTATTATGGACCATCTGACACCTTCTCCTGGTGTTTCTTGAATTACTAAAGGAACATAAAATGCATATCATAAAGAATCATAACAGTAAACTGAGAACAAAGAAAAGGCTATCACACTACTTTATCTACACTTTTGTTATATTGGAAAGGAATCATCTAAATTGCATATATCTCTTTAAAGCATAGGAACTGTGCAATTTGCATGGTATTATTGAAAAAATAGCTTAGAAAGGTTAAAAAATGGAATTAAACCTTCAAATAAATAATAAGAATACTTCCACCATTCAACTAGATAAAACAGAACAGTATAAATGGATACTTTTTAAAGTTATTTGGGAGCCTGACTAGCACTGCCTTTGAGCTCAATTCCCATTGATTTTCATTGAAACACAGGATTTTGCTTACTGAGTCTCTTTAGTGCTCTTGAAGATTGTATCCATTAGATTTTGTGTTTATGTCAAAATGTAACTGCTAACTACTTGGGGTTAGCAAGAAAAGAATTCCAAGGAAAAACATCGTCCTCAGAAATACATTGCGCTAGAAGCAGCTGTCTGAGATGATTTGTTGAACTAAATGGAGCATTTATGTAATACAAGAATGATTACGCTCATAACTTAATCCTAGAAACACTGTACGTTATTCCACAAAAGAAGTCAAAGCCCAAATGGGCAGTGGAAATCAAACTGCCTTCTTCCACCAGATCAGAACAGTCATGTTGCCGGGGTACTGCAAAGAAGCTTGTGCTACCAATGCTGACTCTGTCTCATGGACAGAGAACCCTCTCCAAAACTGTCACTCTAGAATCTTTAACACAAGCCACTTTAAAAATAAAAGGAGAAAAATTAGATAAATAATTAATAAATTGATATCTACTTCCATTATGTAAGATTTTATTGTTAGCATTATAGTCATTATTAGAAGCTCATAGAGCAAAGAACAGTGACTATAAATAACAAAGCAATTGTAATGCATTACACCTTGACCCTAGAGGCTTCAGTGTTCCTACTGTCTATGTATTCAGTACTCATTATTGTGAGCAGCAAGGAATAAGAAGAATAAAGATACACTGGATTTTGTACACAACTCTCCCACCCACCACACCCCTAACCCTGAGCTTCGGTGCTTGAATCTTCTGGTACAATATATACAATCAACAAAATACTTTTCAGCTTTTAAAACAAATGACAAAACAAGTTCCATTTCCAGGCGTTCTTAGTCATCATAAATTTTATACAAAAACTTACTCTTGTCTCCCAGTTCTAAGCTACTTTATCTCATCCTCATCCCTGAAGGTAGCTCTTACACACACTGACTCTAGTGCTACCTACTGGCAGCCTCCAATATTACTATTGGAGATAACTGTAGCGATTTATTTCCATTATTATGCTTCCCCTGTTTAAAGGGATTTAAAAGACTTTAAAATTAAAGGTGAAAAAATTTCTCAAAATGTAATATGTATATTATATTATGTCATATATAATACGTGTATGTGTATATGTATATGTATACACACACACTAAAGTTTTAATAAGATTTCAGATTTCATCTCTTTCATAAACAGAGCACTTTGTTAATTAGCAAAATTCTCAACGATTAGTAAATAATAGGAGTGTGCGAAATGGGCCGTATTTGATTTGGATTTGGCCCAAATCAGGGAGAGTGATTTGATTCATTGAGTTGGATCACTGTCCCAATTCGATTCAGCCGAATCCAAATCTGAAGATCTGATGCTGATTCGGAGAATCATCGATTTGGCCATAGATACAGCTTTAAATGTATTTTATACATACCTCAGGGTACCAGGCATGGCTCGTGAATGCTGTGTTGCTGGGGGGGGGGGGGTGGGGCATCCCCAAGCAGGGAGGGGGGGGGGCCCCCCCGCGTGCTCGGCTATGGACCCAGAGGTGGACTGGAAGTACTCCCGGGTCCACCGCTGAGCGTACGGGGGGGGGGCCCTCGTACCCTCCCAGCTCAGCGATTGGCCACAGGGGGACCCTGGGTGGCCCTCCAGACCCAGGAGGCACCAGTCACCAAGCTGGGGGGGGCACGGGAGCCCCCCGTGCACTCCCCGGCAGACCTGGAAGTGGACTGCCAGTGCTTCTGGTCCACTTCTGGGTCTGCTGCTGAGCGCACTAGAAGCTCCCTCACCCACACATACACACACACTCCTATGGGATGCTCCATCCACCCCAGCATCTCAGCATTTATGACCTGCCTGGTACTTTGAGGTATGTAGAAAAAACATTTAAAGCTGTGTCTATGTCCAAAACGTCGAATCTTTCCGAATCTCTCCAAATCGATTCACAGGGTTCCGATTCAATTCAGAGAGATTGAAGGGTCTCCTGATTTGATTTGGATTCAGAGATTTGGCCACCGAAAGGGGCCAAATCTCTGCCAAATTGAGTCAGTGACCAAAGCTTCGCACAGCCCTGCTAAATAATGGCAGTGGCAGAAATTATGTCAGACAATCAGTGGCAATAAATGGCATTCATAACAAAAATATTAATTAAAATGTTATACCATACAAAGCTTAATAAAAGTTGCTGTTTTTAAATCGTTCAATTATTGCTATACTGGCTTTATTAACTTTTATTTAGTCTCCAAAATGAGCCAAAACTTAAATTGCAAGGTCACATTAACCTTTTCAATTCTGGGATCCTGATTTTGAATAGTTCTATAAAATTCTGGTTCAGAACATCTCCAGATTGGCTTATCTATTCAGTTATAAATTAACTCTAATGCACCACACATGAAATTCTATCCCAAATTACTGGAAATTTCATAATAAGTGCATGTTGCAATTTTTGCACCATTCAAAAAACCATTTCTATGGACAAGATGTCAATTCTTCTAGACCTCCATATTATTTAGTAAAAATTGTTAAATACCTGTATAGTTCACTGGCAAATTGTCAGACCTGGTCCAGGTAAGCTGTGGCGTTGGGTACCCAGTGGCATCACAGCGTAGTAGAACGTTGCTTCCAAGAGGTGATGTGATTTTTGTTGCTGAAGTAATTATGGATGGTTTAAGACACTGTTCCAGTTCTGCTCTCTGGAACAAGATACCTGCCAAATTCTCAGGTCCACTACATGCCACAAGAGGATCAAGAAGTATAACCAAGGTGTCCATTATTTTGGAAAATTCAATTAACTTTGAAATTCGACAGTCACAAAACCATGGGTTGTCCTGCAAACCTTAAGCAGAAAAAACATTATTTTATATTCAGACAATGAGACAAGAATACATATATGATTATTACCAAACATTAATAGAGAGGGTTGTGAGACTCTTTGAAGGTCTTTTATTTATTTGAGGTTTTTTCTCCCTTTAAAACTGTTTTTTTTGTTTTGTTTTGTTTTGTTTTGTTTTTTGTAAGGAGAAAGGTTACAGCTGCTGTTTAATGTCTGATAAACTAGATACTTTCCCCGCAGCTGCTTGTTGAAAAAATGATAGACAAGTTGGTATCTCCTATGCTAAAGCAGGCCAACACATCTTTTTTACTTTAGGAACAATTACTGGTAATAAAGTGTTAAATAAGATGGTACAGTATCTCAGCTGCATCTAGCTTTTTATCAGAGCCTTCAGGGTCTATCTTTCAGACTATACTAACAGCTAAGTCTTCCTTTTCCCTTCCTCTGCTCTTAGCACTTCATTGAGTATTTATTTATTTATTTATTAGCAGGGATCCTGGTTTTCTGTTTAAAAATTGCAAATTTTCTAATAAAAATCCAATGTTCTCTGAATTAAAACCCCCAAATCTGTGTTTTTCTCCAATTAAAATGAAATGTCATTATATATATATATATAGTGTGAGTGTACACACACACACAATGCCATTATAGATATTATGTGTGTGTGTATCAATTTAATACAGTGTGTTATTGATATATTTACAATTTTAAAGCAATTTGGAAGCCTACCAGTGCCTCAATCTTTATAATAAAATAAATTCTAAATACCTATATATTTGGGCATTTGATTCGGTTTTTTTAATCATGGAAAATCAGAACTCCTGTCACCTTCACTCACCAGGACATAGATCCAACTGTGCCTGTCCCCTCTGCTGCTTTGTGGCACTGAGCAGCCCTGATATGCTGGTGCCCTGCCCCTGCCCATGCCGTTGTCCCTTAATCCCAAACCACAGCTCCCTGGCCCTGCCAGCGCCTCCACTCCCAACCCACAGCACTCTACACACAACCTCCCCCCGGCCATGCTGGTGCCCCTCACTCCTGACCTGATGCCCCCTGGGCTCACCGGTGCTCTGCACTCCAGACCCACAGTCCCCTGCCTCCCTGGTGCCCCTCACTACCAAGCCACAGCCCCCTCAGCCCTGACAGTGCCCCTCACTCCCAATCCACACCCCCTAATCCCCCATCCCTGCCAGGGGAGGGCTCCAGCTGCCCCTTCCCTTGCCCTGCCCAGCCCTGTGCAAACTCACAGGATAGTGGTCAGCCTCACAGTGGGGATAGCCTTCAGCATGGGATGCATGCAGTGCACTTCATGCAAACCACAGGCAATGGCTGTGGCACCACACATGCTTCATATGAAGCCAAGCACAACTCTAGCCCCACCATGCTGCAGGCAGCAGGAGCAGGGTGAGGGGCTCCAGGCCCCATCCTGCCCAGGCCAGAGTGCAGAGGCTTTGACTCTTGCAGGCAGCAGCAGAGCAAGTCTGGCTCTGGCACAGGCTGAAGGAAGGAGGGGAAGCCTGTGGCACCCTGCACCCTGGGTTGGGCTCCTGCACCATGCCAAGCAGTATAGCCATGCCCTCCCCCCACCCACCCCGGCTGCGTCTGCCAGCTGCCCCACTCCTGCCCCTGCCACTGAAAGCACTGGCACCAGCCCTGGTGCTGCCAGACCAGCCATGTAGCCCCCTGCTGCCCCCAAGGACATTCCTCCCCCTTTCCCCACTGGAGAAGCAGGCACCTGCAGGCAGGCCCTGCTGGCAGTGGTGGTACAGAGCTGGGCTCACTGGTGGCACCAAGTGGTGCATCAGATCCCTGGCTCTGTCACAGCCCCAGCACCTGGACATCTTCCACCACAGCCCCTGCCCCCTGGATAGTCCCCAAGCCCTGGCCCCCAACCCCTGCCCCCAATAGATTTAGCTGCCAGGGCTGTTCCTTCCACCCTGCCTTGCTGTTCCTTCCACCCTGCCTTGTTATATTACGCACATGCACATGGCACTCCCTGCCTCCATTTGCTCGCCCCCTGGTCCCCCTAGCCCCAAGCAACTCCTTGCAGACTAGAAGGCTGCCAGCCTGCAAGAGGAATCCCATGGATTCCTACATTTTTCACCTTTAATGGGGAAAATGCTTGGTTTTCTCAAATTAGAAAATACTCTTTCTTCCACATCAAATGGAAAACCCAAATCCCTGTTTATTAGATTTAAGGCTGAAGTTACACGTTACATTTAGACCATACTAGGGGCAATTAAAATATGACCGTTCAAACTTTAAGGCTTGTTAACTTCTGCTAAGTTCCCTTTTTGTATTTCAAAGGTGCGCCGCTTCAGGCAAGGGTTAACTCTGGCCATGCTTGTGTTAAGGCAGGGGTGGGCAAAATGCGGCCTGGGGGCCAGATGCAGCCCACCAGGCCATTCTATCTGGCCCGCAGGGCCCCTAAAAAATTTAGAAAATTAATATTAACTTGCCCTGGGCTGCCTGTCATGCGGCCCTTGATGGCTTGCCGAAACTCAGTAAGCGGCCCTCTGCCTAAAAAAATTGCCCACCCCTGTGTTAAGGTAACTTCAATCTGCTCCACAGAGATAAAATGAGCAGTTTACAGTCTCTTGGGATGTACCAGTCCCAGCCACTTTTCCCCACCCAGAGTTAGGATGGAGCCCAGGTGTCCCGGTTCTTAGCTATGGCCCTGCTTGCCAGCCCTCTTGTGGCAAGTCAGAGCTGTGCAGGCAAGAAGAGGTATTAACCCTTAATGTGTGACTACTCACAGCACTTTCTAAATTTAATACTGCTTAACATTCCACATATTTAGTATGATCAAAGTGTAACATGTAATTTCACCCTTAGATTGACATGACTCCCTTCCCAAAAAAAGGCTCAGGGCAATTTATGAAAGGCAAATAACTTATAAAAGCAGATAAAATCTTAAATATGATAGGCAAGGGATATAACTGACTCCTCAAACAATACTCCAACTCAACCTGCCCAAATAAAAAGACTTGTGGTTCTTCCAGAAGATGTCTTGGCTTCTGGCTAGCCACAACAGGGACAGAATTCAAGATCAGGGAAGCTACTACCGAGAACAACCTCCTGTGTTTTCACCAAGTGAACTTGACACAACAATGGTGCTTGCAGGCACTAGTTCTCAGCTGACATTAGGAATCACTAATGTTCCATTAGTGGAACATTAAAGAGAAGGCAGTCCATGAGGTATGTAGGATCCAGATCTTTTGCAGTTTCCAGAGTATGCAGTTTTCTAGTTTGTTCTTTCCTGCCATGCACTTTTTTCAGTGCTTGAACTGTCGTTGGAAAGGGTTGGGGTTTTAAATCAATGAAGTTTAGATTTGGATTTAAATTTTCCCAGTGTTCTGGGATTTTCAGATCCAGGATTTTACTTCAATGTTTTAAAAACAATTTTGGAGAAAGGAGAAAAGCCATAAATATAAAGAGCCCTGACCCTCTCCAATACAGTATTTGCATTTTATTCTAACAACTGAGGGGACTTATTTTTCTTGGTAAATTTGTTTTTAGGTGAATCACAACGAACACTGTATACTACCACAAGTCCAGATCCTCAGCTGGTATAAACCAGCACAATTCTAATGACTTTATACCAGCCAGGGGGTATGACCAATCCAATATTGTATTCATGCCTTTAAATATTTTCTGATTTGACTTAAGGTGTTTGCATACCTCTCATCATCAACAGTTCTTTCCTTTTAAATAACAACAGTAAATAGATCTATTCCAAGCTGAGATATGAACTTGGACATCAATACTCTGATAATAAGTAAGTTAGAAATGCATAGACATAAATAAAGCTTAAACTTTGTAGGGAGGGTCTGCATATATTGGGTATGTTGATTTGTTTACCAAAGAAATTATAATAATTACATCCAGTTGGAAAGAGAAAGAAAAAAAAGGCTGAAATAACTGTTGGTTGTACCTTATGATGCAAAACAATACTTTTGCTTTAGAAATAATTAAAGGTTGAAAATTATTTTATTGTAATAACACTTAATTTTCCCATTTTTAATATTTCATTTGTTTCTAATCTCTTCATACCATTGGGGAAAAACGCTTGTAATGTAGAAATACCCAAATAATTAACAATACTTTCTTTTATCACCTGACAAAACAAGTAATTTTAAGCATGAGGTGATTGGTTAAAAGAATGGTAACATCTTGTTAATCCCATGATTTAAAACACTTGACCTGAGGAGATTCCATGACTATGAGTTTATGAGATCACAATCCAATTTTACTCCTTCCAGGCACACTAATCATTTTCAAATCTATTCACTAATTATTGCCCACAAGACCAGCACTATGTGAATCCAAGAAAGCTGGTTCAACTACTGTATTCAAAGAAGTCTCCAATATTTTTGCACATGCAGGCAGCTCACTAGAGTTATCAGGTTGTATGAGATATTTAAGACTTCCTTGCAAGTTAAACAGAATGGTAATATGAACAAGTTTTGGCTAATGCAGGTTCCCTTTTCAGCTGTGTCCTTGAGATAGAGAGATGATCAGTGTCTTAGCCTATCTCACACTATTTTTGGCATGTGTATATTTCTGTCATACATAAAATTAAAAACTGAACTGCCTTCCCCTTCAGACTGACAGCATACCAGTGTCCCAAAGCTCATTCACTGTGAAAAATTTATGTTGGTGGTTCCAAGTACTGTGCCCGTATATATGCAATGAAAAGATGTTGGGAAAAGCATTCAGGTGAAGATGATAAGGCTATAACTGATTTACTTACCAACTTTTAAAAAAACAACAACTACATTTCTCATCTTTTGAAATACTTTTGTATTGTTGACTCTGGACAGTTTTAACTCTTGAAGTATTTAACTACAATAAATAGAATCTTATTTATAGAGTAGAAATAGAAATGTGTGAATTCTGCAAAGTCTTATTCGTGGGAGCAGTTCACCAAAAGAATTCAATAGAGTTCTTCATGTCAATAACGATTGGCAGGGTTAGGCCCTTCGATTATTCATTACCATAAC